TTTTTATCATGCTGCCTTCCTAAAATGACACCAGATGCAAGGACAAATTCCCTTCTACCACAGGGGGATATAGTTCATTATAAAAATAAAATACGTCGGGCAGCCTGGGTGGCTCAGCGGTTTAGCACCGCCTTCAGCCCAGGGCCTGATCCTGGAGACCTGGGATGGAGTCCTGTGTCAGGCTCCCTGCATGGAGCCTGCTTCTCCCTCTGCCTGTGTATCTGCCTCTGTGTGTGTGTGTGTGTCTCATGAATAAATAAAATCTTTAAAATGAAATAAAATAAGTCATTGCAAAAGAAGCCTTTGTAGGCTATCAGAGAGCATATGGTTTAAAGTCAGATCATGGATAGAACCCCAGCTCAGCCTCTAGAGTTCCCTCTTCTGTCATCTTTCTAAAGGGGTTAATACTTACTGTGCAGGGTTATTGTGAGGATTATAGATAATGCACATAAACCATAGTGACTGCAATGTAGAAGATATTGAATAAATATTAGAGAATAAGTCAATGTTCTGGTGAAAACACTGTTATAGGTATAAACAATCAGATAAGTAGGATAGCATTACATTTCACAATAGACAACCAGTAGGAACTTGAGTGATTTTTAATTATAGTAATTTATGAAAAAATGGTTTGTTTGTTTATTTATTTATTTATTTGAGAGAAAGTGAGCGCACAAGCAGGGAGGAGAGGGAGAAAAGCAGTCTCCTCGTGAGCAGGGAGCCCAACATGGGGCTGGACCTCAGGACCCTGGGATCATTCATTACCTGAGCCACAGGCAAATGCTTAATGACTGAACCACCCAAGTGCCCCCAAAAGTGTCTTTTTTAAATAGGAATATTTAGAGGGGCACCTGGATGGCTCAGTGTTTGAGCATCTGCCTTCAGCTCAGGGCATGATCCTGGGGTCCTAGGATGAGTCCTGCATCAGGTTCCCCGCAGGGAGCCTACTTCTCTCTCTGCCTATGTCTCTCCCCCTCTCTGTGTCTCTCATTAGTAAATAAATAAAATCTTGGAAAAAATAAAGCCATGTCTACTATGTGGATAGACGTGGAATTTCAAAAATAATGCTTTCAAAAATTGTAAGTGTTCTACAACAGAACACCTGTATTTTAAAATTGTCTCTTAGTAGTATCACTGTAATCTTTCTTTAAAAAAATTATTTTTACTTGAGACAGAGAGAAAACATGCATGCATGCGAAAACAGTGGAGGGGGGGAGAGGCAGAGAGAATCCTGAAGCAGACTCTCCGCTGAGCAGGGAGCCTGATGCTGTGTCATCCCAGGACCATGGCATCATGACCAGAGCCTAAACCAAGAGTTGGACGTTTAACTGACTGATCAACCCTGGTGCCCCACAATAATATTTTAAAAATAGCCTAAAACAGGAGCACCTGGGCGGTTCAGTGGTTGAGCATCTGCCTTTGGCTCAAGGAGTGATCCCAGGATCCCTGAATTGAGTCCCATATTGGGCTCCTTGCAGCGAGTCTGCTTCTTCCTCTAACTATGTCTCTCCCACTCTCTGTCTCTCGTGAATGAATAAAAAAATAGCCTAAAACATCCTTGGTTACAGAGGAAAGGGATAAAAACTACATCATCTATATTATTTCCTTGTTTACTGATGAGAATCCAATTTTAGGTTGTGTAACCTAAACAAACTGCAAGTGAAAGAACAGATTATTTCGTGTTTATCCAAGACCTTTTTGGTACTTCTGGATGCCAGGAAAACAAAAATTAACTTAAAGGTATCTATATTTTAAGAAAAGTATATTTGAGATGTTCACTGTCTAATGAGGAAGACTAATATATGAACAATGATGATATTGATGAGGAACAGAGGACTAGCTCAGGGCAGCACATTGATAAGTCCTTGAAACAGGCAGAGGGACATGGACATTCTTCTACAGACTCAACTGCCTCGACATTAATACTTTGCTAAGGGCAAAATGTAATCTTAGCCCAACCCCCAGGAGCCTACTTTAACATATAAAATTTCCTTTAGAAATTTCCATTATCTCTAAACCCCCAAGATACGTGTTGGCAATCATCCTCCAAGCACATGGCCCACTGATACACATCTGAAGGGTCTCATGACTCAGGTTTTATTAGACGGTAATAAGTGACCTTTTCCCAACAATAGCTAGGCCCTCGAGGTCCTGGAAACCTCAGCATGCCTGGCTCAGCAATTGAGCGTCCGCCTTCAGCTCAGGGCATGATCCTGGAGTTCTGGGATCAAGTCCCACATTGGGCTCCCTGCGTGGAGTCTGCGTCTCCCTCTGCCTGTTTCTCTGCCTCTCTCTGTGTGTGTCTCATGAATAAATAAATAAAATATATTTTTTAAAAAAGGTCCTGGTAACCTTGCTTCCAAAATTTCTTAGTACAGCTATCATCAAACCCCTCCAGGGGATCCCTGGGTGGCACAGAGGTTTGGCGCCTGCCTTTGGCCCAGGGCGCGATCCTGGAGACCCGGGATCGAGTCCCACGTCGGGCTCCCAGTGCATGGAGTCTGCTTCTCCCTCTGCCTGTGTCTCTGCCTGTCTCTCTCTCTCTCTCTCTCTTTGTGTGACTATAATAAATAAATAAATAAATAAATAAATAAATAAATAAATAAAAACCCTCCAAACTCCCAGGTATATAATCAGCCACCCCTCACAGGCCCGGGGCAGCAGCTCTTCCTGCCCATGGGTCCTGTCCCCGTGCTTTAATAAAACCACCATTTTGCACCAAAGACGTCTCAAGAATTCTTTCTTGTTTGTCGGTTCCGGACCTCATCTATATCCCAAAATTTCATCAATACGATGTACTGAATTCATCTCAATTCACTTGGGGGGGAGACTAGGAAAAGCTTGGTTGAGGAAAAAGATAATATTTGAGCTAGGACTTGAAGAGTAGGAATCCTCAGGTGAATGAGAGGGTAGGGTGAGAGAGAAGGAAAATACTCTGGCAGAAGTCCAGCAAATACAGACACTTGCAAGAGAATATAGAAATATCAAGGAAGGTAGGTAATTCAGAATGACTTGTACAGGAAGGAGCTTGAGATAAGCCTGGAAGAAGCAGACAAGGGTCAGGCTACAGAAGCCCTTTTATCCTTTGAAAAATGGGTTAAAAGGTTTTCAGATTTTAATGTTAGCATCTTTGGCAATACTATGAAGGATTGGTTCAAGGATGACCAGTTAGGCAGTATTGCAATAGATTTGTAAGAGTGATAAAGGTCTGAAAAGTGGGCATCATGGGAAAGGAGTTAGAATCTGATTCCTTTTTTAAAATTTTTTAAAGATTTTATTTATTCATTCATGAGAGACACAGAGACAGAGAGAGAGAGGCAGAGACAGGCAGAGGGAGAAGCAAGATCCACGCAGGGAGCCCGATGTGGGACTCGATCCCGGGTCTCCAGGATCACGTCCTGGGCTGAAGGCGGCGCTAAACTGCTGAGCCACCGGGGCTGCCCTGATTCTCTTTAAAACTATTTTATTGAGATAAAGTGTACCTAACATAAAATCAACTGTTTTAAAGCATATAATTTATTGATGATTCCTTTTTAAAATAGTCTACCTTCTGCTAGGCCCTTCTGCTTCTATTCCAATGAAAGATTTAATGAATAAATGTAATTAAACTGGATGAAATAGTTGTTTAAAAACCTTCAGTTTTCTTATTTATAAAAAGTGGTTACTGTAGAAATTCAGACAACACCATCACATGAGGTAAAAAGTGAAAGTGTTCTAATGAACAATCCCAACTACCCAGAGATAGCCACTGTTAAGACTGTTGTGTATCCTCACAAAAGTTTCTCTATACATACATATGAACTTATATATAGGTGGTTTTGTGGGGGGGGGGTTTACATAAAAGGCATCTAAAATATAAAGCATTGCTCTATATCTTGTTACCCATGTAAAAATGTCTTGGAATCCTCTGAAAAAAAAGCCTGTTCACTTCACTATACCTTTGCAAACGGTATGTTTTTATTTTACTCTTCCAACTTATTAACTCATTTTAATTTGCCGGCTTTTTTTTTTTCTTATCTTATAGTACAAATATTCAGAAACAGAAAGTATAGGTTCCTTTAAGTTCAGCTCAAGTTGACAAGCACCCAAGATGCCTAAATGGTATTTTAAAAGTGCGTGTACAGGTGTGTACTAGAGGAAGTACAAAATGTACGGGAACTAGCATAAGACTGACCGACCTAGGGTTGTAGTCCTTGTTCTGCAACAAGTAACTGTGTAAGCTTAGGATTCAGTTTTCTTCATCCATTAAATTAGGGAGCATAAATAATATAAATAGTTGTTAGTAATCTCTAAAGCTCTAAGTCATGTTTCAAAACACAATGTTAAAATACCTTTGTTTGGATCGCTTAACGGTAAGAATATTGTATCTCTTCTACTTGCCATAGCCGGTAAATTCCACAGAGGGAATCTTAGTTTTTTGTTCACTTATGCATACCAAGATCCTACAATAGTGCCTGGCATGTTTGATATTGGTAAATGACTGAAAATGGCTAAAAAGCTTCCATCCCAGTAAATTGCTTTGAATCAATTATTTGGACAGTGTCATAAATCTAGCATACTTTAGCTTTTCAGCTTAACTCTCACATTCCTGAAGCGAAAATGTCACAAACATAGAACTCTTAGACGTCTATAAGGGAGTTGCATCTACTGACAGCAGAAAGATTCAAGATATTCTACCCCACCCGACCCCCGCCGGACCTAGAGTCAAATTTCTCCTACCACCTGGTGGGGCCCAAGCTCAAAGTAGTGTCAAAACTCTCAGCTATGTGCATGCACAGGCCTATAGAAACCAGGTTGTCACCTACCCCACCCTCTCAGACTCTACCTTCCTAGAAGACAAGGAGTTACAGTTTCTTCTCTCACAAACTCCATAACTCTTAAAAACGGTGAAACCGGAGCCACCGAAAGACGGAACCAATGAGGAAAGGGGATGGGAAGGAGTACCGACCCTCTCAAGCCCCACTCTTTGGGGAAAGCCGTGTTGGAAACATCGTCCTCACCTCCTTCTTTCTTTGAGCAGAGGCTGAGGGAACCCCGTAACTGAGCAGCAGCGCCACCGCCATGTTCGCGGAGACACACCAAAGCCACCAACGCGCTGCCATGTTCGCTCCTCTCTCTCCGAGAAACCAAACTTGCCTCGGGCTGTGTCTGTGTATTGGGCGTGAGAACAGGCAAACCAGCCCACTACCCCTCCTCATTGGTCCAGCTCAGCCCTACTGGGCGACCCTTCACGTTACGTCACGACGCTCTACTGCTAGAGGCACGCTAAAAGATGGTTCACTTCTAATTGGTCTCCGTTAGCCAATAGAAAAAGGATAATCTGGTGGTTTTTCATTGGTCCGCTAAGGTTGATTAACCGCCCCTTTCATTTATGTAAATATGAAACGTTTAATGCGGCTGCAAGGGCGCATGCGCATGCGCAGTTGTAAACCATTGCGGGTTGGTCCAAAATGGCTTAAAGTTGTTAAGACAGTTTTTTTCCCCCAGTCATTTAGAAGTCCTGGAAATCCACCTTGTTTGTGTAATATTCTAGAAAATTTGGACCTAGCCACGTGATTGTTAGCTATATTATACCCTCATTCTGCCCCTAAAGTTTTTCAAATCAAGATGAAAAAAGTAAAAGCAGGAAAGAAATACACAATATTACTGAATATTCTTAAAAGTAAACAGGCAAGAGATTGTAGAATACCTCCTGTGTCCCAGGAACTGTGCCATATGCAGTGAACAGAGCAGACATCAAAAGTTATTTTTCAAAGTTTTTTCATGACATTTTAAAAGTTAAATCTTTTATTACTCTAAGACAAGGACTTAACTTTCAGGTTATAGACAGCAAATACCATCTTTTTATTATTTTATTTGGGAGATGAGCACGAAACTAAGGTTGTAAGGAAGTATTTCTGTCTTTTTAATTTTTTAAAAGATTTTATTTATTTATTTATTCATGAAAGACCCAGAGAGAGGCAGAGACGGAGGCAGAGGGAGGAGCAGGCTCCCTGCGGGGAGCCTGATGTGGGGCTTTATCCCAGGACCTGGGGATCACACCCTAAGCCAAAGGCAGATGTTCAACCACTGAGCCGCCCAAGTGCCGGTCTCTTTCTAGTTTTTGTGTCATAGTCTATTTTCATTAAATATCAATTCCCCTATGTAAAAAATAATAAAAATCCTACATAGCTGAAGAAGTTTCCATTCATTTGGTCCAGTTCTGTTTATCATAGTGGGTTGTAAAACTGGGATGATTTAACTAGAGAAGAATAATATACTCAAGAGGAAAAATACCAACAAAATAAAATCAGTTGCCTGTAATTTGGATTCATTTTCATGGTGTGAAAATCCTATAACTACTTTTTTAGGCCTTGCTGGGAAATACATGCACATGTATGCACAGAGAAAAGGAATTTCCTTATATTGGAGAGACGAGGATATGCGTATGGAAGGGAAAATACTGGTTCTAGAGTAGATATATGTGATCTGGAGATATGAAAAACATTTTAAAACATAAACAGACACTCATAAGAATAATAAAAATTAAAAGTATGTGGAGACAGCTGTGTGATTCCATTTATATGACATTCAGGAAAAGACAAACTTAAAGAGACAGAGAATAGATCAGTGGCTATCTGGGTCTGGATGTGGAAAGAGAGGTTGGCTACAAAGGAGCCACACAAGGAGATTTTTGTGGTGGTAGAACTGTTATTTCCTTTATTTTGGGGATGGTAACACTAGGCATTTGTCAAAACTCACAGACTGGTACACTAAAAAGGAATGAATTTTACTGCATGTAAGTTGAATGAATAAAATTTAAGGTAAGTTTTCAAAGAACACAGAAATCTCACCTATCATGTTGGCAAAAATTCAATACATGCCATCATCAAGGCTGTAGGGAAGCACATACCCTTATACAATGCTGGTGGGAATGCAAAATGGTATATTTATGGAGGGTAAGCTGACAGAAAAACTACATACACAATTATCCTCTGATCCAGCAATCCCATTTCTAGGCAACTACTCCAAAAAGTAAGAATATATGTGCAAACATTATTCACTTTAGCCCTATTTATAGTTGAAATACTCTCAAAACTACCCAAATGCTCAAATACAGGAGACTGATTGAATATACTATGGCACATTGTTGGTTTACAAACTGGCCCCTGTACATGCAGAGGAAGGAGTGACCAAGGAGAGAGCATGGCAGAACACTCTAGGTTGATAGGTTTTTAATTTTTTTAATTTTTAAACATTTTATTTATTTACTTTAGAGAGAATGAGCATGAGAATGTGAGCACAAGCAGGGTAGAGGGAGAGGGAGGGAGAGGGAGAAGCAGACTCCTCACTGAGAGGAAAGCCTGACTTGGGGCTCAGTCCCAGGACCCTGAGATCATGACCTGAGCTAAAGTCAGACGTTTAACCGACTAAACCACCCAGGAGCCCCTAAAATTTTTATTTTTCTTCTCGAAGTACAGTTGACATACAATGTTACATTAGTTTCAAGCATATGACAGTGATTTTACAATTCATTTTTTAAATTTGTAAATGCAAAGTGAAGATTTTTTAAAATTTATTTATTTATTAATGAGAGACACAGAGGCAGAGACATAGGCAGAGGGAAAAGCAGTCTCCTCAAGGGGAGCTCATTGCAGGGACTAGATTCCAGGACCCAGAGGACAACACTCTGAGCCAAAGGCAGACGCTCAACCAGTGAGCCACCCAGGCGTCCCAGAATGTAGTAAAATTTAAATCGAATACAAACAGAAAAAGGTAGCTTGACATTATCTCAAATGAAAAACAATCACACTAAAGAAAAAAACTAATCTGGGGAAGCCCGGGTGGCTTAGCGGTTTAGTGCTGCCTTCAGCCCAGGGCATGATCCTGGAGACCCAGGATCGAGTCCCATGTCAGGCTCCCTGCATGGAGCTTGCTTTGCCCTCTGCCTGTGTCTCTGCCTGTCTCTCTCTCTGTATGTGTCTCTCATGAATAAATAAAGTCTTAAAAAAACTAATCTGAATAATTTGTGAACACACCACTTTGATTATATCCTACTAGACTAAAGAAAAAAAAAACTACAAACAAATCTTGAATTCTACTAAGTAGGTTTGTTTTTCATAGTGATATGACTACAGCAATTCCAAAAAATTTATTATGTATAATATGCATAAACATTGATGTTATTGACAGCCAGGATTTTCACATGGAAGAAGAGAGATACAAACATGAAATGAGGGGGACCCCTGGGTGGCTCAGTGGTTGGCCGGCTGCCTTTGGCTCAGGTAGTGATCCTGGGATCTGGGATCTGGTCCCGCATCAGGCTCCTGCAAGGAACCTGCTTCTTTCTCCCTCTGCCTATGTCTCTGCCTCTCTCTCAATCTGTGTCTCATGAATAAATAAATCTTTAAAAAAACAAATTCGAAATGAAGGAAAGTAAAAAATAACTTTTGTGATTGAACTGAAACTCGAGTTATTAGTATAAATTTATCATTCATAATATATATTCCTAGCTCTATTTGCTGAAAGGACTAGAAGCAATGACACTCTGATATCAATGAGCACACCTGATACCAAATATATGTTGCTAAATACCATCTCTAAAAGAAATTAGGGCTTCTTAGAGAAATGGCTGGTTCCAGTGCTGGGGTAGCAAAATTACAAATGAACTTGGACCATCTTGTGTCAGAAAATAAACCTGTGCTCAAAAAAAAAAATGAAGTCATGTAAAATAATTAAAAAAATATATAAGACAGCTTGAAGGGAATCCTACTGATCACATCTCAGACTATTGGTAACTAAAATAAATCATAATAGCAATAGATTAAAACTACTGAATCTACAAATCCATATCGATAATGAACAAATAAATTGGAGAAGGGATAAAATTCCTCCCTACAGTGGAACACTCATTATATGGATGCCTGGGTGGCTCAGCGGTTGAGCGTCTGCCTTTGGGTCAGGGTGTGATCCCTGGGGCAGATCCCTTGGATCCGGGGTCCTGGGATCCAGTCCTGCATTGGGTTTCCCATGGGGAGCCTGCTTCTCCCTCTGCCTATGGCTCTGCCTCTCTCTTGTGTCTCTCATGAATAAATAAATAAAATCTTTTAAAAATCACTCAATATTAAATATAGAAGGAATGATAGAAAAATTAGCATATGAAACTTTCATACTAATAATTGATTTAGGCAAATTCATCAGTGGATACAAAAACTAGTGAGTAAAATTTTGATGAAGAACAGGATATTCACATAGTCTTGATGTATTCTTCACACTACTTGTTTTATTACAAAGGAAAAAAACAGTAACTTTAGTGTGGGAACTTAGAAGCCACTCTTTGGACCAAATGATTAAAGTTGGCAATAATGAGACAATAATGGAACATTTTATGCTTCCTGAAAGATGCCCTAAGAAGACACATCTATTATGTAGTATTCCTGCCAGAAGTCCATAAATTGAATTTAATTATGAGAAAATATCAAGCACACACAATATGTGGAACTTTTATAAAATAACTGGCCTATACTCTTCAAAAATATTGATTGCCTGAGAACACAGAACTGTGGAGTCAGAAGGTCTGTTACCAGTTCTTCCACTTACACCTGATAATTTTATCTTCTACTAGTCATTTAGATTCTGCACCTCACTTCCTCCATATGTAAAACTGAGAGAATAAAGATTACCTGTAGTGAGAAAAAGAAAAGGCTGTGGAACTATTCAATTTTAAAGGAGACTAAAGACACATGACAATTAAATTCAATATGGGGATCTGGATTGAATTCTGGGTAGAGACACTGGAACAGTTGATGAAATTGGAATATGAGCTGTATTGTATCAATATTAAATTATATATATATATGAGAGAGAGAGAGAGAGAGAATGCACATGCGGCAAAATATTATCCAAGTGGTGAACCTTGGCAATTGGTGTTTAGGTGTTCTCCTCTCACCACCAATATTTTATTATGAAAATATCAGAAACAGAACAGAAAAAGTGGGGACACCTGGGTTGCTCAGCAGTTGAGCATCTGCCTTCAGCTCAGGGCGTGATCCTGGAGTCTCGGGTCGAGTCTCACATCGGGCTCCCTGTGTGGAGCCTGCTTCTCCCTCTGCCTATGTCTCTGCCTCTCTCTCTGTGTCTCCCATGAATTTATCTGACTTTCATGGTTACGTCCAGTATATTGCCCTTTAGGAAATTTTTCAAGATCTTAATGTGAAAAAAAAAAGATCTTATTGTGAGCATCATTGATGCCTGGGATATAACAATTGCATATGGTACAAAGAGTGTGCACCCACCTCAATCTGTAGTCAGAAATGAAGTTAATATATTATTAAACTATATTTGCTAAACACCTCTGAAATTCATTCACTTGATTGAAAATATTTATAAAGTGTTTGCCGTCATGCCAGATCTTGTGTTTGGCTCTGAACTCCCAATAAGCATGAGATCTGCACTATTGCTAATCAATAAACAACCAATTCAACAAATAAATAACTTCTAATTGGGCTTCTACTTAAGAATAAAAATTGAAAATACCCATGAAAAGGACCATACTTCTTGATCAGAGTCATGCCACTCTTCACAAATGGGAAGTCAGGACACCTAATGGTTAAAAGTTGTCTCTGATTCATGGAAATCCAGTGCAATAAAGTCATTTAAAAAAAAGGTTAAGATTTTAGATAAAATCTTAAAAAAAAGAACAGAAAAAGTGAAATAATTGTACTCTGAATATCCATTCTACAATCCATTTGTTGTATTTACTTTATCACACATTTATCCACATTATTTTTTTACTATTTATTTATTTATTTATTTATTTTTACTATTCTTGCAACTTTTCTCTAAATTTGAAATCATTTCAAAATTAAAAGTTAAATCAGTATGTGTATATATATATGAGTATATAGTATATATATAGTATATAGTATATAGGAGATAAAAAAAAATTAGAGAAGTGAAGAAAGTTTGGGGGACTCAAAAGAATTCCTAGTGTGGAGCGAAATACAAGCTCAAACCTCTGAAACACCATCTTGAAGTTAGGGCCTTTGATTATTCAGTCTAAGATCAGCATCTCAGTTTTCCTACGCACAGCCTTAAACCTGGCTCCAAGGTGGTGGTGGTGGGGGGGGAGTTTCTCTCATTCTTCACTGAATACCATCATCTCTCACCTACGAAGCGTGAAACTACATTTCCCAAAAAACCTTTATCTTTCCTACCTGTAAAGAGGATTAAAATTTCCATAACGTTGGGTTTTTTTTTACAGGTCTCGCGAGATTTCTCTAAATCTCATTAAAGAGCCCAGCCGGAAGCCATTTTGTTTTTCAGGGCTCTTTGCAAGGGTACTTAGCACGAAGTTGTAGCAAAGCAGTCACCGCAGTTGCACCGTTCTGCCTTCAGCTTCAGGATGTTTCCCGTGGCCAGAAACGCTCTAAGTCGTCTCCGAGGTAAGCAAAAATTATGAGCAAATAATTTCCAACCGCCTTTTACGCATTTGTCCTAGTAGTCTCTCGCGCCCTTTCCTTCCGCCTACATCCCGATTTCCTAATTAAAAATGCGAGGTCTCCGACCTCGCCCCAAGTAATTGGGAAGCTGTCCTTAGCTTTAACTTTATCGCCTGGTGTTTCCGTTTTGGTTCTCAGCTCATTTTCTGTTACCAGAGTCATAGCATAGTTTCTTGTTTTTTAAAATTCACTTAATACGATTTCAGGGAAGGAGATTCTTGGTGGACACTACTCATTCCTTCAGTAATTTCATAAATTTTAGCTACGAGGATACATTTACCCTCAAAGAGAAGAACCTCCTTTTCTAATCCTGTAACTGTAATGGAAGGATACTGTAAATCTAGCTCTTTCTCTGGTTTCATTGTAAGGAGACAACCCTGCAGCTTTTATGTTTTTTTGTTGTTTATTATTAGCTTATAGGAAAATAGTTGTAATTTTTTTCTCCTCTAACAGGCAGGTACGAGGGAATTTTGAGACCAGCCGTGTGTATTGAGAATGCATTATATTGGAAAGAGAAAATTCATTTCCGTACTTGACTTGCAGTGAAGGTGACCTTGAGTAACGTGAGCAGTTATTTAATATTGAAAGTGACCTTAAGCAATTACCACTTAGCTATCCTTTTATTTTCAGTTTAGAGTCATTAAAGGTATTACGAGACTGCGTTCTAAACACTCAAACAGCTTTGACAATCACCAAAAAAAGAGTTGCTCAGCTTGTTTTTCAATATTTCAAAAGCCACATCTATTATTTCTTTCACTTTGGACAAGGGATTTTTCTCTGAACCTCATTTTCCTCCTTTGTAAAATAGGGGGTTAGTAAATTATTCCTACCTCATACAGTTGTTGAGGATTATATGAGATTACCAATAGATAATAGTAACCATTTCTTATTACAGAGGAGAGGTCTAAAGAAATCCACTTGGGTGACCTGAATTTTGAGGTCACGAGATGTTGCAGAATTGTTTGGTAATTTTAACTTATTTACCCTTTGAGTAGGTAGGGCCTTGTACCTCAGAAGGAGTTTTTTGTTTTGTTTTTTTTTTTTTCAATGTAGAATTCACACATTCACTTTTTAACTGCTTTAGAGCAGAATATGTTGTGAAATGTTTCTAAATTTGCTCATCCCATGTATGAAAGAAGAAAAGAAAACCTGTAAGGCAGTTAAGAGGAGAATTCATTAATGGCCAAGTAACTATCCTGAAATAACCCACTGTATCACATAGAAGCCGTTATATTCTTAAATGCTAACGAATGGGCAACGTTGCTGTTTCTTTTTTCTTTTTTTCTTGCTGTTTTTAAATTTTTAAAAAGATTTTATTTATTTATTTATTAGAGAGAGAGAGAGAGAGAGAGAGAGAGAGATCGAGAGATCACAAGCCAGGGGGAAGGGCAGAGGGAGAAGCAGACTCCCTGTTGAGCAGGGAGCCCAATGTTGGGCTCCATCCCAGGACCCTGGGATTATGATCTGAGTCAAAGACAGAAACTTAAATGACTGAGCCAGCCAGGCACCCTTGCTGTTTTTTATTTATTTTAAAGATTTTATTTATTTATTCATGAGAGACACGGAGAGACAGAGACATAGGCAGAGGAGAAGCAGGCTCCATGCAGGGAGCCCGATGTGGGATTCCATCCTGGGACTCCAGGATCACACCCTGGGCTGAAGGCAGGCACTCAACCGCTGAGCCACCCAGGAATCCCTCCCCTAAGATTTTATTATGAAAACTTTCAGACAGAGAAAAGCTGGAAGAATTGTATGATAAATACATATGCACTGCAGAAGTACGATTAAATTTTGACATATTTTTCTCACATTATCTATACATCTGTCAAAATATTTTTGATGCATTTTAAAGTTCACTACTTTGCTTTTAGCTACAATGCGTTTTAACATTTTATTGAATATAATACTATAAAGATAACTTTGCTTTCCTGATTAGCAATATCAATTACACGTTCTCTTTTCCTTGTAACTGATACACTTCTGTATTTTTTTTTTAAGTTCAAAGCATTCCACAAACAATGGCAAGGCAGAGTCACCAGAAACGGGCACCTGATTTCCATGATAAATATGGTAATGCTGTATTAGCTAGTGGAGCCACTTTCTGTATTGCTGTATGGGCATATGTAAGTACTGTCGATTGATAATTTTCTATGTTAGATGTTTTTCTCTTCCTATTTATGTATTCAAAATGTTTTCACACAGTATACATTTCTAGTTAGGCGGGACTTCAAAGACTTCCTGATGTAATTACCCACCCACTGCAGGAATATCTTCCATAGCATTAAGCATTCATATTCTACCCATCATTTTCTTGCAACAAATTCTGATCCCGTTTCCATGTATCAACCATTAGATATTAGAAGATTGTTATCATGTCTCCTGGATCTTCTCTTTTAGATTAAATATCCTTAGATCTGTTAATCACTTTTTGTTACATGATTTCCAGGGTTTTCACCATCTTTGGGTCACCTTCCTTTGCTTAATCAGTTTCTCTTCTAAAAGAATTTTAGAAGAGAAACTGTTGTACCCCAGAACTGAGTACAACATATTATGGATGAGATGTAAAGTGACTTGCTTTCATTTTAGTTTTTTAAATCTTATATTTAACAGTCTTACCAGTTCTACTTGTTGGTTAAAAGTAGGATAAATACATACATACATACAGTTCTTAAGAGATACCTATCAACCCTTGCCTTTATAAACAAAGATTTTTATTAATGGGGCTTTTCATTCTTGTTTTCAACCTTCCTTAAATATATTGTTAAAATAGATATGTGTACTTAATTAGAAGAGTAAATGGGTGGTGAACAAATGTGTGATCAGGGGCACTTTTGGAGGTGGTGTTCCTTGATGAAAGGATATTATAAAAATAATGTTTGGCAGTATTTGGGTAGTTCTGGTTGAGTGAAGCAATGTTTTGAGGTAGTAGAGAAATGTGAAGTAAAAATTTGAATTAATTAAAAATTCAATTGTTCAGTTATACAAGCCATATTTCATTTGCTCAGTAGCCTTATGTGGCTATTGTGTTAGTGAAGATCTAGACATTTCTTGCATCTCAGGACACCCTATCAAACAGTACTGTTCTAACGAATTAGGACAGCAATTAGCTTTGGCCTACGTGGAGGGCACTACATCCCAGCTGAGTTTCTGTGTGTTTTTAACCTGTAGAGTAGCTTTGTCACTTTTAAGAAATAGTCTCCAAGGAAGAGTGGATTCTGGCTTAAACATTTATAACTAATAGTGTTTTAATTCTTACAGACAGCAACACAAATTGGAATAGAATGGAACCTGTCCCCTGTTGGCAGAGTCACCCCAAAGGAATGGAGGGATCAGTAATCCCAGCTGGTGTAATAATGAATTGTTTCAAAACCAACTCATAATTGATGCCAGGTGAAAGCACTGTGCACCTACTAAAATATGGCATGATTTAAGAAATAAAGTACATTTGAAACCTTCATTGTTGGTTTGTTTCTTTTGTAATGAAACCAAGCTTGATCACTTTTCTTTTTTTTTAAAGATTTTATTTATTTATTCATGAGACACACACACACACACACACAGAGAGAGAGAGAGAGAGAGAGAGAGAGAGAGAGAGAGAGAGAGAAAGGCAGAGATAGAAGCAGGCTCCATGCAGGGAGCCCGACGTGGGACTCGATCCCGGGTGTCAGGATCATGCCCTGAGCCAAAGATGGCGTCAAACCACTGAGCCACCCAGGCTGCCCTCACTTTTTATTTATTTAACTTTAGTGTTACTATTAAAGTCAGATGCTTTACAAGTTCTTAAATAATTTTTCTTTCTGAGGTAGTAGTATGAAAGTAAAATTTGGCTGTTACCTGAAAGTCAACTTTACAGTAGGCTGAAATTATAGTTCATGAAAAACTGATCACAGAGTTATATTAGGTCATCTTTGAGTAGATACTGAATATGCTTACTACTTTCACCTCTAATTTGTTTATACTTGGAATTGGCATTGTTAAGTCCTTTTTACTCCTGCCAAGAGAACTTGGGGTGTCACCAGACCAAGGGAAGAGTGGTCCTATCATATGAACTCCTAGGACATCTGAAGATTAGGTAGCTCCTTGGCTCCATTGACATTTATCTTGGAGCTTTGAAACTTTCATTATATATAAGATGTTTATGATGCTATTAAAGGATCTGCCAAATAAAGTTTATTTTCACTTATCCAGTTACTATCAGTGGTGACCTGCTGTTGGCTTTCTGTAATTATACCAACTTTTTGATGCATATATTCTGAATTCAGTATGACTTTAGATTTTGCATGTAAGATGCTAAATGAAGAAAACATCTGTACCATGTACTTCATTACTTCCTTGGCTGAAGGTGTAAAAAGCCTCATGTTTGTTGATAGTGCTCAAATAAGCAGAAAATGGAATTTGAGTGGAGTAATCTATGTAAGCTAAATTAAAGATTCCTAAATTCACTTACCTATCCAATAAGTTATCATATGAATGACTTTTAGGATTCCCCAAACTTAACCTGATGTAGATAATGCATAACCAAACCTTTGAAAGATTTTTAATTATATGAAATACTAGAAGAATGCTCTCCTGGCAATATGTTCTGTTTTCTCATTAAACGCATCAATCAAATCCAGTAAGTAATTTCATTGAGAAGGAAAAGTTGAATGTCCTTGCAAAATAAGTGCTTGCAAAATTAGTAACTACGTGATAGTGCCAGTATTTGATAAAACTTGAACGAACGCTTGCTATCATTTAGAAAGCATGTTAAAATAGGACTGAAGTATTCAATTGCATGTAACCCTGAAATGTGATTAAGCAAAATAAATGCTAAGGAAGTTTCAACATTCCATTATTTACTTTTTTATTCCTGATTTGGCATTGAGGATTACTAATGACTACAGGTAATAGTAGTCATTTTCTTTTTTTCTTTCCTCTTCTTCCGAGGAGGAGGAGGTTATCTTCAGTTTTAATCGGGAAAGACTCCACAACATGACTACCTCCTTGGTTTTAATTAATTTTTAAAGATTTTATTTATTCATGAGAGAGACACACACACAGAGAGAGAGAGAGACACACAGGCAGAGGGAGAAGCAGGCTCCATGCAGAAAGCCCGACGTGGGACTCCATCCCAGGTCTCCAGGATCACTCACGCCCTGAGCCGAAGACAGACGCTAAACCGCTAAACCGCTGAGCCACCCATGCGTCCCACCTCCTTGGTTTTAACGTAATGTCGCCAGGACACATTTCAGCTCACTCCCTGGCATCCCCAACACCGCTCACGCTAAGAGCCAGGCTGGTCCCCAGGGACTTCCAGGACCGCTGAGAGCACGAAGAGCACTAAGGGGGTGATCTGGACAGACGCACGGGGTATTGCGGGTGGCACGACTCAGCTACCTGGGCACCAGTCACCTCGGCCCCAGGCTCTAGGTCCTCGGGCCCTCGCAGGAACCATCACTGGGTCTCCAGATTCACCGAGGCAGAGCCACTCTGGAAAGCGCAGGACATCTCCACATTCTGCCCCTCGGTTGCCATCACGTTCCGCGGAAACTCAGTAAATTTTGCTTGAGAAGACAGTCCTTGTACATATAAAACCGAAAAGAAAACAAATCCAACATATGCCAAAAAGATCCCCATCATTCCAAAAAGGGGAGGAGGGGTCACATCAATGTAGCCAACGGCCAAAATGCCCCGCCAGGAACTCCAGCCGGGCAGCCCGAGGCAGGCTTGGAGCTTGGCGGCTCCGTCTACGTTTTTCTTCTGGAGAGCAGGAACATTTATTTTTTTCCAATTTGCTTTTTTCCCCCATGAATGGAATCTTTCTTGCCTCGGTAGACTGGATCACTTGGTGCTTAAGAGGACAATACAGTTGTACCATTGCTGGGGGCTGGGAGTTGGGAGATTTGGGGAGGAAGTTGGGGCATTGCTGAAACTTTTTTTTTCTTAAGATTTTTATTAGAGAGCAAACGCACCCGCATGCACGAGTGGGAGAGGAGAGGTGCACTGGGAGAGGGAGCAGGCTCTTCATTAAGCAAGGAGCCTGATGAGGGGCTTGATCTAGGACTCTGGGATCCTGACAGCCAAATCAGGCACTTAACTGACTTAGCCACCCAGGCACCCCTACAGATAATTTTCAATATGATTTGTACCAATTTCAGGTAAGTGATAATTGTCAACTATTCTTACCGGCAAAAGAATACGGCATTCAAAAATGTCTGTTCATCTGCCAGCATATATGTTGCTTTGTGTGATAATACCTGGTGGTGGTAGGTGACATTTTTGAACAGACTTAAAGCTTAATTTTGTAGTTAATCTTGTTCTGATGAGTAATTCTAAAACGGTCTTGGCCACTATTAGAAATGAAGCAGTAATACAGGTCTAAATTAGTGTCCACAATGTTCTGACCTTGCAGCTTTCCTAATGTACTGAGAGTCAAAGCTTTATCCTTTCACAAATGCACTCAGTTTATCCCAAAACACATCAGTGGGAGTTTTATTTTTTGGTAATATTTTATTTATTAATGAGAGACACACAGAGGCAGAGACACAGGCAGAGGGAGAAGCAGGCTCCATGCAGGGAGCCCGATGAGGGACTGGAGCCCGATGTGGGACTCAATCCCGGGGCTCCAGGATCACACCCTGAGCCACCCAGGTGTCCCAGGAGTTTTAGTATCTAGGGTGGGAAGATTGTCAAATTAGTCTTCGATCAAAAATATGAACATTTGAAGAATGTAGGGAAGTGACTTCAGAAGCATTGCCAATCCTTTAAATGTTATTTGTTAGAGTGCTGTGAAGTATTCTTTTAAATTAGGGTAAATGTCATAAATCCCATTCTTAATTTCATTGTAAATTATGTTACCATATGTTTTCTTTTAAATTCATTAAACTTGGAGCACCTGGGTGGCTCAGTCAGTTGGGTGTCGGACTCTTGGTTTCCACTTGGGTCATGATCTCAAGATTATGAGATCAAGCCCCATGTCAGGCTCTGTGGTCAGCGGGAAGTCAGCTTGAGGATTCTCTTCCTCTGCCCCTTCTCAGCTTGCTCATGCACTCACTCTCTCAAATCTTTAATCAAAGAAATTCATTAAACTTATTAAGAACTAGATACTAACAGATATTGAGTTCTCACCCTTGTGACTATTAACTTTTTTTGAGATATATTAATATCACTTTATAATCATTTTGGGGGCACCTACTATCAGCTCAACACCAGAAAACTTGATTACTTGATATTCACTTTTATTTGAAAACTAGTTAATAGTATGTATAAAACTGTTAGTATGCTTATGCATTGATAAAGGGAGGTTAGGGATGATGCACTTAGAGATGTGAGGTGTTTTAGAGTGAGGGAAGAGTTCAGTGACTAAGGATATACATAATAGTCTTGCAGCTCATAATGATAAACTTTACATAAAAATTAGCTGGTGAATTTGAGACTCTGACAAGGCTTTATTAATGGTTTCTCATTTTTAGGAGTGTCTTTGTAAGCTTAACTGATAATGTTGTAGTTATAAACCAACTGGCTAGGGCAGCCCTGGTGGCTTAGTGGTTTAGTGCTGCCTGCAGCCCAGGGTGTGATCCTGGAGATCTGGGATCGAGTCCCATGTCCGGCTCCCTGCATGGAGCCTGCTTCTCCCTCTTGTCTGTGTCTCTGACTCTCTCTCTCTCTCTGTGTCTCCATGAATAAATAAATAAAATGTTAAAAAAAAAAAACGACGGCTAATAATTGGAAGCCCATTTAAAAGTCATCTTACTTTCATGTGATGTGATTTTTAAGATTTTAAGTTTGGGGTTGAATTTATGACTTAAGTTTGTGAACATTGACAATTACAACTTAATGGCTGCGAAGGTTAGGAGTCTTGAAGATATTTATGTGGATGGGTATAGAGGAGGAAGGAATACTTCTTTCTTAAATATTTAATTGTAGGCCTAAAATTTAGATCTGTGGGCAATTTTAAATGTTGCCTGTCAAGTCTTAATAGGGATTTCACAACAGGTGGAATGTAATTAGTTTATTTAACCCTTTTCCCCCAAAGATTTATTTATTTATTTATTCATGAGAGACACAGAGAGTCAGAAACATAGACAGGGAGAAGCAGGCTTTCCACAGAGAGCCTGACACGGGACAGATTCAGGGATCCCAACTACTGAGCCACCCAGGCGTCCCTAGTTTATTTAACCCTTAAATATATTTGGTGTGTGCCACTTTCCTAAGCCTTTTACAAATACCAATTTAATATTATACTTAGTGTACTATTTTGGGTTTGGCATTATTAGGGGAGGGGCGCCTGGGGCATCTGCCTTAGGCTCAGATCATGACCTCAGGGTTCTGGGATCCAGCTCAGCTCAGTGGGGAGTTGCTTCTGCTCCCTCTGCCCCTCCCCCCCGCTTGTACATGGGCGCTCTGCCCCTCCCCCCAAACAAATTTAAAAAGTCTATATATATAAAAAAAGACCTGATACTCTTCTTAGGG